TTATCTTAACATGCTTTGGTCAAGAGAGAGATTTTGATATTTTCCTTTTCCTGATGACTTTTGGCGATCATCCATTACTAAACTGAGCGCCTTACTTACTTTGCAAACTCCTCATCTGTTAGGACCTAGGCTTTGTCTCTGCATTTCCTACGGAAGTGGTTCTTAATCCTGACTGTACATTTTAATTATCTGCAGAGGTTAAAAAAAATGGGCTCCACACCTAGAGATTATGATTCAATTGATCTGGTCTAGAGCCCAGCTTGTAATTTCAAAATATTCCCCAGGTTAGGATTGAGTGTAACATGCAGCAAGGTCACCTACAACGTCTAGGACAATTCCTTGTGAAGGGCAGGTGGTCTCCAGGAAATGGCAGTTAAACTGAACTGCATTGATAAACAGGCTACACAGGGCCATAAGATTTTGGGTGAGGACATATCTGGACATATTCCGCTGCAGGAATTGTGTAGTACCTTAAGTGGCTCATAATTTTGGGGTAAAACCACAGGGGCCTGAAGGTCTTACCTTGGTTGAGTTGGTAGATCAGTTTTGTTTTGTTGTCCCCCTTTTGGGTGCTGTGCCTTAGTTTCGTCATCTGTAAAATGGAAATAACCAAAGTTTGGGGTCACATTTTTGTTTGAGGCAAAAACCAGTACCAGTAAAAATTCGCCGCAATGAGCTTTGTGTAAAATCATCAAATTGCTGTCATGCAAACACAAATGGGAGTTTAGGAAGTGGAAGCAGCAGAAATGTGTCTGGGGTACTTGTCAAAGTTGATCGATAGGGTTCAGCAATGATGTGGACTTAGGGATTCTCCTACCAAATCCCAGCATCATGACATTAGTGCTGCTGAAGAAATGCCACTGAGGGTTAAAACTACCACTTCTCTTTTGTGTTAAATGAAGGGGCTCTGGGGACTAGACCTCTTCCATTAGTCAGAGGTCCTGCTGCTGGCCAGGACACCAGTGTGCAGGACGGTGGAGCTCTGCTCTTACCACCAGCGCCGTGGGAGCCCTGCACACTCTGCAGGGAGGCCCAAGCCTGCTGACACATCAGCAGGAATGCTTACACTGAGAGCTTAGTTCACAGCCCTGGGCCTGGACCCAGGCATGAAGTAGTTACTTCAGATCCTGGTTTCCTGGGATGAACACTCTTCCACTTCTAATTCCCCACCCCTGCCTATAACTGGAGCTGAGGCTGTTCCTGTGCACACAGACTCCCTCCTGCCTCTGTTCCTGCCTGGCTTATCCTGTGGATCTCAATCCCAGATTGTGTTCCTATCCACTTCAGCCGTAAGGCCAGCCAGCTCTCCCATAGCCAGGGGAAACTTCACAAGATAGCCCCTGAGCATCTGCCACGGTCTAGCAGAGGGACTTAATGCTCCTCCTTACATCTGATCTAAAGTCTGAAATGCTATGTAATGCTATGCTTTAGTTATATCCCCCTAGAGATGGAAAATAGAGGATTCCCTCTTTTATGATAGTTGTGCTATTAGTGAAGTACTGGCCCCTCTCATTTTGGGATAAATCTCCCCCCTACATTTGGTTTCTCGTAATAGTCTATGGTTTACCTCTTGTCATCTCATCTCAGGCTATGGAGGATCAAAGCACACATAGTGTCTTATTAAAAGGGCAATCAAGGACAACTTATTTTACAGGTGGGAAAATGGGTCACAGAGAGTTTTGATGATGTGTAACTGAAATAAGTGAATGGGACCTGAAATGAGGACTCTCCTTTCTATCAAAGTGGCAGGGTGGCGGCAAAACGGTGGTGGTAAATGCAGACAGTGGTGGTAGCAAAGTGTACCACTTGAGAAACTTGGATTGCAGGGACAAACAGATTTTCACTTCATGACATCTCAGTTTTCTCATTTATAAAAAATGAAAACAAGAGTACTTAACATGTCAGGATGCTGTGAGGGTTAAGAGAAATATACATGAAAAGGACTGGTGCTGGGTTTGGCTCTTATAAGTAAGTAAGGCAGTAAATGCACACACATGCAACCATGAAGTGGGTAGCTTTGAAGAGTTCCTGTCCAAGGCTTAAATAGTCCACAGGTCCCCTTAGATAGCTTCTGGGAGCACTGGTTTCTATAGGACCCTGGAGCAGTCACTCCAAAGCCCTTCCCTCAGGTTGATGTCTCTGGAGAATGACCCCAAAGACCCCCAAGAGGGCTCTCTGGCCACTTATGCCCAGTTGCAGAACCAGAGGCAGAGGCTGTCCTAGATGGCAGCTCTCATCCTGTTATATCTGTGATTCCTGAAACCAGTTGGACAGCAGAGGTTCAACAGTATCTTCTTCATTATAATGAAATGAGGCTATCCTAAGCAGAGCATTTAGCCCAATGCCTGGTGTGTACTAGGCATTCAACAAATGTTAGTAGTTATTAATAGTAGTAGTTTTAAACCCAAAGCTAGGTTCATGGGTCAGAGTGCTTCCAAATTTCAGACTCCTTCCTCTAGATTAGGAAACAAGTGAATATGTTCTGGCTTAGGGCCAATCCATGGAAAGTCTATGCCACCGACTGTTATTTATTCATTCATGTATTTATTTATATACTTAGTACACATTTACCGAGCATCACTTATGTGTGTTGCCCTTGCTCAGCACACAATTCTCTGATCTCTGGTGTTTATGCATGACAGTTGCACCAGGCTGGTACGAATAGTGTTACACCAGGAAAACCCACTTCTCAATATCACTTTTCCATCTGCCTTCTGATAAAGCTAGAGAGTTAGGAGGAGCTCTGATCATGGCACCTTGTGGGTGAAATCTGGAGTTGGTCATGAGTGCATTTTACATATAAGAAAACTGAGGCCTGAGAGGGGAGTACTTGCCCCAAGTTCAGACAGTACTTTAGTGGGCATCTGAGGCTAGAATCTGGTTCTAATTAGTTTAGGAAAAAAGGGCCCTTTCCAGCAGACCACTTGCCTCTGTATGAGAGGGAGATAACTAGTCTTTACATTTTCACTTACACATAGGTGTTCTTTTTCTTTCTGAAGAGGTGCATTTTAAGGTTAAATGAAATAGCATTTGAATAAGCCTAGAACAGTGGTTCTTAACTGTAATTGCATTAGATCATCTGAACATCATTTTGAGAATACTGATTTTGGAGCCCTACCCCAGACCAATTAAATATGCATTTGTGGGACCAGGGGGCTCATATTGGTTTTTTTTTTTTTCTTTCCTTTTTTGCGGTACGCGGGCCTCTCACTGTTGTGGCCTCTCCCATTGCGGAGCACAGGCTCCGGACGCGCAGGCTCAGCGGCCATGGTTCACGGGCCCAGCTGCTCCGCAGCACGTGGGATCTTCCCAGACCAAGGCACGAACCCGTGTCCGCTGCATCAGCAGGCGGACTCTCAACCACTGTGCCACCAGGGAAGCCCACTCATATTGGTTTTTAAAGCTCTCCACGTGTTTCTAAAGTATGGTCAGGGCTCCACAGTCTAATATCCAGTCATTCTAATACACAGTCAGTGGTCCAGAGATCAGTGCTTCCAAAACTCTAATGCACATTTGAATTATCTGGGGATCTTGTTAAAATTCAGATTCTGATTCAGTAGGTTAAGTGGGGCTGGAAAGTTCCCACTTCTATCAAGCTCCAAGTTCATGTTAATACTGCCAGTCCTGGGCTTCCCTGGTGGCACAGTGGTTGGGAGTCTGCCTGCTGATGCAGGGGACACGGGTCCAGGAACATCCCACATGCCGCGGAGCGGCTGGGCCTGTGAGCCATGGCCGCTGAGCCTGCGCGTCCGGAGCCTGTGCTCCGCAACGGGAGAGGCCACAACAGTGAGAGGCCCGCATACTGCAAAAAAAAAAAAAAAATACTGCCAGTCCCCAGACCACACTTGGAATAGTATCTCCAGAAGATGCTCTGGATTCTGGTTATCCACTGGTCACTCACTAGGTACTCCAGCCAGAGGCCTGGAAATTACCTCTTTCCTTCATCCACTCATCTGCACCCTACCAGCTCTTGGTCACTATTTCTTGTCAACTCCACCCCACTGTTCTCTGCAGCTCCTATCCTTTCTTGGTAGACTGGTCAACATTCTCTTCCATGTTCACCCACCATCACTCCCCATCCTGGCTGTGTTCCCTGCTAGACCACCTCCTGATGGGGCTTTCCCATTCCTCCTTGGCTCTGTGCATGCCGTTTTTACTCTGTGGAAACCTCTTCCAGTCCTTGACCTATCCCTTAAGAGACCACAGAATCCCTGGACCTCTTCTCTGCCTGCACTAGTTACATATGACGATTGTCTAGGAGCAACATGCCCTATTGGTTCTTTTCTAAGTTCCCAGAGCCCAGCTCAGCACCTATCAGGCTCTTAAATAAAGTAGGTGTTCAATTTAAGAAAGAAAACCCCAACTCTGAATGAGTAAGGCCAAAGACCTCAGCTGCTCTCCTTCGGATCAAAATGAACATTCCTTCGAAATTATGTTTTAGGTTTTAAATTCTCCAGTTGGAGAAAAAAAAAGTCGATCAAATTCAACAAAGTAAGTAGTATTTCCTGTAGCTTAATAAAGGCAGGCTCAGGGACTTCCCGGCGGTCCAGTGGTTAAGACTCCAAGCTTCCACTGCAGGGGGCACTGGCTTCCATCCCTCCTGGGAGGAACTAAGATACCGCATGCTCTGCAGCACGGCCAAAACAAAACAAAAACCAAAAAAACAAACAACAAAAAAAGGGCTCGGAGCAGGTGATGGGACAGGAAGGAGAGGATGGATGCTGGAAGCAGCTTGGAGGTCTGCTTTCAAATGTGGGCTCGTCCCCGCAGCGGAAAAGGCAAGAGCCCGCGGACAGCCGATGGAGAAACTTCCATAGAAGTGCGCGGGTCAGGCTGGAGTTCCGGAGCTAGAACTAACTTGACGCGGAGGGAGACGCCGCTTGCGGCAGCCATTGAAGTTTCGTGTCTTTCCAGAGCCCACATGGGCCACTGGCTTGGGGAGGGGGGAGGGGGGAGGGAGGGCAGGTCCGGAGCGGAGTGGGTGGAGTGGAGGGGGAAGACCGAAGGAAATGAGACAAGCTTTTCCTCCCACTGACTCGTGCTTCTCCAGCGTCTGCGGGGCTCACTACCGCTGCCCGTGAGCGCCCAGGCCGAGACCCAGCGCCCCGCGCCCGCCTCAGCGTGTCTCCCGTGGGATTTCTTTCCGAGGCGCCAGTGCCGGTCCAAAGCCTGGCCACAGCTTTGTTGCGTGCTCGCCTTAGTGATCGGCTCCTGGTCCCAGAGCAAGGACCCCGGAAGTGCGCGTCGGTGGCTCTGGCGAAGGTAAGCGGCGCCGGTGAGAGCGCTAAGGGCGTAGGCGCTCCTGGCATCCCCAGCGGGCCCTGGTCTGCCCGGAACACCCCTTCTTCGGAAACACCCAGAGCACTTCTGACCTGAAGCCTGTGCTTTGTTCCTGACCCCCTGCCAGGTGTTGTAGCCTGGGTCCCCCAGGGAACTTTGCTTCCCAGCGCTTGTTTTTACTCTCTCTCTTCCTCTTACTTTCCTGTTGCTTCCCCCGCCCCCTCGCCCCCCCACCCCGGCTCCTTTTTCTGGACCCAACAACTCTGCTCCTTGCTAATGCAGCCTGGCTTCCGAGAGCGAGTTCTTCCCTAATCTCAGCGCCTCTCTCCTCCTCCGCCCCTGGGACCAGGGGCTGAGCGTGCGGGCCCGCGACAGTGACTGGCTTTGACCCCGGGCCTGCCGGAGGCGGATCTGTCCGAAATTACCATGGCTCTCTTCAATCTCATTCACCTTTCGAGGCACTCAGCTGGCCGCGTGCTTTTGGCGACCCCCGGGACCCCGAAATCAAAGCGGATTGGGGAGTGACAAAGTCGTTGGCGCCCCTTAAATCCTCAGGGGGACGCTCTGCTCGTGGAGAGGGACGCGGTCAGCTTCTTGCAGCTCTGACTGGGCTTCCCAAGGATTGGGGTGTGGGGGTGGGTAGGAGCGCTGGATAGGGGACTCGCGTGACGGTAATGAGGCTGGCTTGGAAGGATAGGCGAGGAAACTTCGTGCTAGCTTGCCATTTTGCTCTTATTAACTGCCTGAGTGCTCACATTAAGGCTCTGAGTAGGGACTCCTATCCCTACTTTCCTCTGTGCCCCTCTGAGTAGGGGCAAAATGAGGCGCACAGAGGTTAAATAACGCTACCAGGGTCACATACCTGGGAAGGGGCCCAGCCAGGATTTGTGAATCAGCTGGTTTGTACCGTACAACCCACACCCAGCCCTACAGAGAGTTCCTCTATGCAGTCTGAGCAGAATCCCAACACCTACCGCTGGGTCATACCATGAGGAGCCAGGCTTTTTCCATTTTGAGCAAATACGTCTTGGTTCTATTCAAATCCAAATGATTTATTTAGTACCTACTATCCTCACAATTCAGTGACAAGCTCTGAAGTTTCACCTTGGAGCCTTACTCTTTCATCCTCTACCCATCATCCAGTCTGTCAGCAAATATGTAATTCTTCCCCAGAAGCCTGGCTTGAGTCTTTCTCCCCAAAAGGCTATTAGGCTTGTTGGCTAACCCAGACCCTGGAGTGGGACCTCCAGCATTTGAATCCTGGATGAGGACTTTCTGTAGTTTTCTGTGGCTGGATTTCCTCATCTGTAAAGTAGGGATGGGAGAAGTGGCTCTTAACTGGGGTTTTGATTTTGCCTCCCAAATGACATCTGGCAATGTCTGGAAACATTTTTGACTGTTAACATGTCAACATGTTAAGTGTTGCCCCTACCCCCCAACAGAAGGGATGGGAATCTGCACATGTGAACATGTTTTACAAGCACCAGAGGTAGATCCTGTGCATATTAATGTTTGAGAATCACTGTCTTACAGAATAAAATCTAACCACAGACATTGGCCTACATGCCTGTTCACACTGGCCTCAACTTACCTTCCCAGCCTCACCTTATGACACTTCCTGTATGCGCTTTCCATTCCACCCAACTCACTATTCTTCTGGTATTCTAGGTGTTGACTTTTTGAAATGCCCTTCTTCCTCCATGGCTGACAAATTGCTTATTATTCTTTGAGACTAGAGCTCAAGTCCCCTGCTGGATGAAGCATTATTCAGTTCCTGCAGATGGTTCGGTTCTGTCCCTCCCTGCTACCCTAGCACCAGCCATCCTCCCCCATTTTTTCTTTCAGTGTATCTTTCTTACAGTGTTTACTGTTCTGTATAGGGATCTCTTGTTCATCCCCTGACTTGTTTCTTTGTACCTGGACCTAGCACAGTGCTGTCCTCATGCTGGTGGTTAAGCTTGCTGACTTTGGAGTCAGTCTGCCTGCATTCAAATCCTAGTTCTGCCACTTAACTCTGTGACCTTGAGCACATTGACTCAGTCTCTCAAAGCCTTATTAACAAAATAGGAAGAAATAGTCTGCCTTCTCTGCAGAGAAGTGTGATTAACTAATAGGATAATGATTGTTCATCTTAGTACTGAGTGGCTACTCTGTGCCAAGACATGGCTCAATTTTAGCATTTTATATTTTTAGTCATTTAACTTTTATGAGGACCTTATTAAGTTAGTACTGGTATTACCCTATTTTCCAGGCAAAGAAATGGAGGCACAGAGAGACTAAGCAGTTTGCCCAAAGTCACACAGCTAATGAGTGGTAAGCCAGTATTCACACAGACATCTGAACTGCAAAACACACACTCTTCACACTATGCAGGTAAAGGGCTTAAACCAGTGCCCCACATAAAGTAAGTGCTCCATAAATATGAGCTGGAGTTTGTTGTGTACATTGATAAAAGCCAAAGTCCCTTGGGTTTTTCAACTGCATCACACTTGTGATCTAAGACTGTGCCATTATTTTTACAATCCTGTTCCTTCCCTCTCCTTCTTGCCCCTAACCCAGTCTCAGAGGGACAGGACATTGGGGTCAGTCTCCTGTCACAGTTCTAGGTCAGCACCAATGAACTTGATGCTAAATGGAGCTTTATGTGTGCCAGGTCAGTCAGAATGGCATTAACTCTTTGGGGGTGGGCCTATGGAATCAACACACCTGCTTGAGGTTAGAGGTGCAGACGAGGGGTCAGGAGCTACCTGACTCCAGCTTTGTCCTTTCTAAGCATGTGCCCTTTGCAATGTGCACCTAGCACAGAAATACTGAGTTAAATCAATCAACGAATGTGGGATGGATGGATGAATGGCACCAGGTGGGTCTCTTGCCTTATACTTGATGATGCAGAGTATGTTTTCTCTCCAAGTGTTATATGGCAGGGGTCCCCAACCCCTGGGCCACAGAATGGTACTGGTCCATGGCCTGTTAGGAACAGGGCCACATAGCAAGAGGTGAACAGCAGGCGAGCGAGCTAAGCTTCATCTGTATTTACAGCCTCTCCCCATCACTTGCATTACCGCCTGAGCTCCACCTCATGTCAGATCAACAGTGGCATTAGATTCTCATATGAGTGCAAACCCTACCGTGAACTGCACACGTGAGGGATCTAGGTTGTGCACTTCTTATGAGAATCTAATGCCTGATGATCTGAGATGGAGCTGAGGTGGTGATGCTAGCACTGGGGAGTGGCTGCAAATACAGATTATCATTAGCAGAGAGGTTTGACTGCACAGAGACCATAATAAATCAGTTGCTTGCAGACTCATATCAAAGCCCTATCACTGAGTGGCAAGTGACAATTAAGCTGCATCTGGTGGCAGGCTTTATAGGGGCAAGTGAGTTGATGTACTTCAATAGTACAACTGCATCTGGTGGCAGGCTTTAAGTCAGAATCCGACACTTATTTTAGTCTGCGTGTGGCTTGCCCATTATTTTATTTACCACTAACATCCACACCTCTTTCCCACACTGCACACTTGTCTCAGTCACAGTTTTGGTAAGTCCACAAGCTAACCCTAGCCAAACGTGGAGACCAAGCACCATGCATTAAAAGACAAGCCTTTGGAGTTTTTCAAAAGAAACAAACGTGAACACAAAGAACAGAAGCGATTATTGAAAGCCACCACTTCATCAAATGTGTCGGCACTGAGAGCATCATTCTTAGTGACTAACTGCATTGCTAAAGCTAAGAAGCCCTTTACTATTGGTGAAAAGTTGATCCTGCCTGCTGCTAAGGACATTTGTTGTGAACTTTTAGGAGAGGCTGCAGTTCAAAAGGTGGCATGTGTTCCTCTTTCGGCCAACACCATAAGTAGACAAATTGATGAAATAGCAGAGGATATTGAGGCACAACTGTTGGAGAGAATTAATGAGTCACCATGGTATGCAATCCAGGTTGACGAGTCTACCGACGTTGACAACAAGGCAACAATTGCTTGGTTTTGTGCGATATATTTTCCAGGAGGATGTGCATGAGAATATGTTATGTGCACTTTTGTTGCCAACCAATACCACAGCTGCAGAACTATTCAAGTCTTTGAATTATTACATATAAGGAAAACTGAATTGGTCCTTTTGTGTTGGTATATGCACAGACAGAGTGGCTGCCACGACTGGAGATCTTTCTTGTTTCACTACTCAGGTCAAAGAAGTTGCCTCTGAATGTGAATCTATGCACTGTGTCATCCATAGAGAAATGCTGGCTAGCCAAAAAATGTCACCTGAACTTAACAACGTTTTGCAGGATGTGATTAAAATTATCAACCACATTAAAGTACATGTCCCTTATGGTCATCTCAATAGATGCAGAAAAAGCTTTTGACAAAATTCAACACCACTTATGATAAAAGCTCTCCAGAAAGTTGGCATAGAGGGAACATACCTCAACATAATAAAGGCCATATATGACAAACCCACAGCAAACATCATTCTCAGTGGTGAAAAACTGAAAGCATTTCCTCTAAGATCAGGAAGAAGACAAGGATGTCCACTCTCGCCACTGTTATTCAACATAGTTTTGGAAGTCCTAGCCACGGCAATCAGAGAAGAAAAAGAAATAAAAGGAATATAAATTGGAAAAGAAGAAGTTAAACTGTCACTGTTTGCAGATGACATGATACTATACATAGAGAATCCTAAAGTTGTCATCAGAAAACTACTAGAGCTTATCAATGAATTTGGTAAAGTTGCAGGATACAAGATTAATGCACAGAATTCTCTTGCATTCCTATACAATAACTACAAAAGATCAGAAAGAGAAATTAAGGAAACAATCCCATTTACCATTGCAACAAAAAGAATAAAATACCTAGGAATAAACCCAGCTAAGGAGGTAAAAGACCAGTACTCAAAAAACTATAAGACACTGATGAAAGAAATCAAAGATGTCACAAACAGATGGAGAGATGTACCATGTTCTTGGATTGGAAGAATCAATA